TGTAAGAAGGGACCATTCCCTGGAGAAGGATGTCATGCTTGGTAGGGTGGAGGGTCGACGAAAGAGGGGGAGGCCTTCAATGAGATGGATTGACACAGTGGCTGCGATGATGGGCTCAAGTATAGCAGGGATTGTGGGGCTGGCGTGGGATTGGGCAGTGTTTGGTTCTGCTGTGCATGGGGTCGCTATGAGTCGGAAGCGACTCAACGGCACTTAACAACAACAACAACAACAACCACGTTTTGGTTAATGATAAAAAGAGTGAGAAGAATGCATGTCTCGTGTCTCTTTCCCAGCAGCATGTGTCTCTTTCAGGACCGCGTGTCTCTTTCAGCAACATGTCTTTCTCAACCAGCAGCCAGAGAGAGTCCTGCCTCTAGGAGGCCTCGTTTTGAGCTAGGCAGAGTGGCCAAACCAACCAATCATAACAACAGAATTCTAAGCACCTGAGAGTGAGCCTCCCATAACATTGCATTCTGCTACTCCCAACAGAAATAACCCAGGTGGATAACATTTACAATCAGGAGTTGCTCATAGCAAATCCCACCTTGGAGTTTACAAAGACTTATGGGTAGAAAAGCCACACTAAGTAATTTGCTACACCACAGTCCTCAATGAGATGATTGACACAGTGGCTGCAATGATAGATTCAAACATGACAATGATTGTGAGGCTGGTGCATGACTGGCAGTGTTTCGTTCTGTTGTACATAGGGTTGTTATGAGTCAGAACTGACTTGAAAGTACCCAACAACAATAGCAACAACATAGATGGGATTATAGGTGAGTTTTTTTCATTTGTATTCTTTAGCCTCCACATTTCTAGCAGAAACATATGTTTATATGGGGAAAAAATGTATTAAAAATAATAAAAGTTAAATTTTCAGAGATTGAAGTCTACCATATGTTATAGAGATACTGGACATGGTTCAGAAAAGTATTAAAAAAAAAAAAATGGCCTGCTGTCAAGTCAGATCCGACTCATAGAGACCCCTCCTTGGGTTTCCAAGGCAGTATCACTATAGAAGTAGATTGCCCAACCTTCCTTCTGAGCAGTGGCTGGTGGGTTTGAACCTCTAGCCTTCTGGTTAGCAGTCATATGCCTTAGGTACTATACCACCAGAGCTCCCCAGAAAAGTATAGTACTCTGTAATTGCTTTATTCTTTTTTCTAAGTTTCATGCTGAAATTCATTTTGACCATGACTTACAAAGTTATGTCCTCGTCGATCAAGGCAGTCAAAATGGCACAATTGTTAATGGAAAACAGATTCTTCAGGTGAGTATATGTATACTAACTAATTATCTGTCCATTTAAAAAATTGAATTGAAGTGTTTTATGTTTTTGAAGATAATAGATGTTACAGATACCATTTAGTTGAGAACAGAATTCAAGTCCATATGTGTTACTTGTAAGGGAAGTTCCCAGAAAGGTAAACTTTGCACTCGATTGTTGACTTCTAGTTATAGATATATGCCTTATTTTTAGATATCAGTGTATCTTATAGCTATTCAGAGTTAATATTCTTACAGCAGCTGTAGCACCCTCCTTTTTAAAATTGTTTAATGGGAATATTGCTGAATTGCAAACTTTGAAGGTAGGGCTATGTGTCTTTAGTTAATTCTTGTATTATAAGCACATAGCAGAGTGCTTGACACATAATAAAATATATGGAAGGGAGAGACACCTTATAAGAATTAACAATGAAACAAAACTGAATCATCAAGAGGAAAAGAGGGAGATATTACTGGATTTTTACACAAAAACATGCACGTTATACAGGATTCCCACACACCCCTTTTTATCTTTTCTAAGTTGTGTTTCCTATGAACACTATGTACATTATTTACATGGACACATTATATGGGAAAAAAAATACAGTCTCCTCTTAACACTTTATCTTTCAACTATCATGATTTCTTTTGGTAATAGATTATTTGAAATCTGAAGTTGAAGATTTCTGTTAGTACTGGGCCTGGAGAAAGGAAATTGGGTGAATTTGATAGGATAAAAATTATAAGATGCTCAGTTTAGCTATCTTCTTCTCTAATAGAATGTGTTATAAGGGTCATCTTTGAAGTTGTAGAAGTGTATGTGTGGGTGTGCAATGTGGGTCTATCACTAAAAACCATTTCAAATGTGTTTTTCATTATAACCAGACATAATGTAACAGTAGACATAAAATAGCTATTATATAACTGTCTTGTCATTTTTTTCCCCTCTAGCCTAAAACTAAATGTGAACCATATGTACTTGAGCATGGAGATGAAGTGAAAATTGGAGAGACTGTGTTGTCATTTCATATTCACCCTGGCAGTGATACCTGTGATGGCTGTGAACCAGGGCAGGTTAGAGCTCACCTTCGCCTTGATAAGAAAGATGAATCTTTTGGTATGTGTAACATTGTTATATATGGGTATGATATCTTTTTTCTTTAATTCACTGAGTGTTACAAAAATTATTAGTCACCAGCTTCATATCAAAATAATCCTGTTACAGTGATAATTTATGTAAAGCTATCAGCTAGTGTCTAATTGACATGATACTGTATTGACATATATTTGTAGTTCAGTGAATATTATCAAATGAGACCAGTTAACAAATGGCATGCATTTAGAATTTCATTTCTATACTTAGCTTAGCAGACCTGGGCTAGTAGATTGAGGCTAATACAGTGAAACCTGCGAGAGCCAGAGCTTGACAGGACTGCCTTGTTTTCTACCTTTGGATGTAGTCTTACCACTTCTTCATCTCTTAGTTTAGTGGGAAATATTTGACATTTCATTCTCTGGTAGTTTTCTACCTTACACAGGTTCTGGCTTTCACAGGTTTTACTGTAGGTAATTCTTGTATATAATAATTTAACTATTTTACATTTAGAGCAGGGTTTCATTTTGACAGGAAAGATACTCATTACATCTGTTTTTGCTAACCCAGCTTAGTAACTTTTGAAGTAACACTGCAGTGGTAGCTAAATGTCTTTCAAAAGAGTAATTGTGACATAATAAAGAATGGTTTTAATACCTGTTTACTGTTAGGAAAAAGTCATCACAGTTAAACTCTAATATAATATCAACATTGAAAATAACAGACCAGGACATTAAGGCTTATTGATTCATATGTTCGCTGTCCTGTTTATAGTTCATGTTGATACATTGTCTGCATGTGCCATTATTTTCTATAATAAGTAATACTGTAGGATGTTTCTATGCTTTCAGCCCACCCATCTAAGGCTTCTAAAATCTAAAGATACTTTGAACTAGTAAGAAGTAGTATTTTTTCCCATAATCCTTTTCCTCCAAAATAACAGGTATATGCTTTCATTGTTTATATTTTGTTTTTCTAAGATTAGATTATGAACATTTATGTGGAATATTATAATAACTTTTTTTTTCTTTTACATAGCTATTTTGTTTTGGAAAATTCACTTAATATTTTTGCATTTGGAATTCTGTTATAATCATAGTGCTGAAAATTGAGGTGGTTAGTCTTTGTCTTAGTATCTATACTGTAACTTTCTTATAATCCCTTAGATTGTGCATTTGGCTAACTTTCCAAGTAGGTTTTAGCTGCCTAAAATGCTGAAAGTACATCATCACAACAAAAAATCCTTTTATATTAATGTTAATTTGAATTTCTGAGTAATCTGCAAATCAGGTACTAATGCAGTTATTTATTTTTTTATTAAATAACATTGTTATTGTTGTTGGTATGTACCCTCGAGTCAGACCTGACTCATAGCAACCCCTCCTTGGGTTTCCAAGGCGGTGTCACTACGAAAGTAGATTGCCCAACCTTCCTTCCGAGAAGCGACTGGTAGGTTTGAACCACCAGCCTTCTGGTTAGCAGTCAAGTACCTTAGGCACTATGCTACCAGAGCTCCTAAATAACATTGGTATTTCTTTTCTATAAAGTGTATCAGCTTCATGTGTGTGTGTGTGTTTTAAACCAAAGTCACTGCTTTTCATTTAGTTGGTCCAACACTAAGTAAGGAGGGAAAAGAGTTGGAAAGAAGAAAAGAATTAAAGAAAATACGAGTAAAATATGGTTTACAGGTAAGGATGTTAAATATTATTTCATATGTTAACTTGTATATCTGGTTTTGAGTAAAAACACCTTCAGATAGGCCACATTGATTTTATATGTAAAAAAGAGAATTACTTGTATAATTTTAATAGTTATATAATTTCTGTTAATTTCTTACTGTTCTAGTATTTGTAACCCTAACAGTTAATGATATCTCCTGGCCTTGTTGTGGCTAAAGATAACGTTAGCTACAGCAAGGCCAGGAGCTGATTGTGGAACAGACCATCAACTGCTCATATGCAAGTTCAACTTGAAGCTAAAGACAATTGAAACAAGTCCGTGAGAGCCAAAATAGGACCTGGAATATATCCCTCCTGAACTTAGAGACCATCTAAAAAGTAGATTTGATGCATTGAACACCAGTGACCGAAAAAACCAGAATTGTGGCATGACATCAAGAACATCATCCATGAAGAAAGCAAGAGGTTATTAAAAAGATAAGGAAGGAAGACCAAAATGGTTGTCAGAAGAGACTCTGAAACTTGCTCTTGAGCTGGGAGTAACTTAAGCAAATAGAAGAAATGACAAGATAAAAGAGCTGAACAAAAGATTGCAAAGAGCTCAAGAAGATAATGCCAAGTACTATAATGAAATGTGCAAAGATCTGGAATTAGAAAACCAAAAGGGAAGAACATGCTCAATATTTCTCAAGCTGAAAGATCTGAGGAAAAAAATTAAGCCTTGAGTTGCAATATTGAAAGATTCTATGGGGAAAATATTAAATAATGCAGTAGCATCAAAAGAAGATGGAAGGAATACACAAAGTCACTGTACCAAAAAGACCTGGTCGATTTTCATCCATTTCAGGAGGTTGCATATATGATCAAGAACCAGTGGTACTGAAGGAAGAAGTTGAAGCTTCACTGAAGGAATTGGTGAAGAGAAGAAGTTGAAGCTTCAATGAAGGAATTGGTGAAGAAGTCTCCAGGAATTGATGGAATACCCATTGAAATGTTTCAACAAACAGATGCCCTACTTTAGGCACTTACTCAGCTATGCCAAGAGATTTGTAAGACAGCTACCTGGCCAACTGACTGGAAGAGGCCCGTATTTGTACCCATTCCAAAGAAAGGTAATCCAACACAATGTGGAAATTAATCGAACAATATCACTAATACTGCATGCAAGTAAAATCTTGCTGAAGATAATTCAAAAAGAGTTGCAGCAGTATATTGACAGAGAACTTCCAGAAATGCAAGCTGGTTTCAGGAGAGGATGTGGAACGAAGGATATCATTGCTGATGTCAGATGGATCTTGCCTGAAAGCAAAGAATACCAGAAAGAGGTTTACTTGTGTTTTATTGACTATGCAAAAGCATTTGATTGTGTGAATCATAACAAATTGTGGATATAACATTGAGAATAATGGGAGTTCTAGAACATTTAATTGTACTCGTGAGGAACCTGTACATAGGCTCGGAAGGAGGCTGTCGTTCGAACAGAATAAGGGGACACTGCATGGTTTAAAATCAAGAAGGGAGTGTGCCAGGGTTGTATCCTTTCACCATACTTGTTCATTCTGTATGCTGTGTAGATAATCCAGAAAGCTGGACTATATGAAGAAGAACGTGGCATACAGGATTGGAGGATGGCTTCATTAACAACCTGCAGTACGCTGACTTCACAAACTTTGTTTGCCAAAAGTGATGATGACTTGAGGCACTTACTGATGAAGATTAAAGAATACAGTCTGCAGTTTATATCTCAATATAAAGAAAACAAAAATTTTCTTGTAAGCAGCATCACAATAAATAGAGAAAAGATTGAAGTTGTCAAAGACTTCACATTGCTTGGTTCTACAATTGACGCCAATGGAAGCAGCAGTCAGGACATCAGACGACATATAGCACAGGGCAAATAGGCTGCAAAGGACCTCTTTCAAGTGCTCAAGAGCAAAGATGTCTCCTTGAAGACTAAAGTGTCCCTGACATAAGCCATGGTATTTTCAGTAGCCTCATATGCATGTGAGAGCTGGACAATGAATAAGGAAGACCAAAGAAGAGTTAATGCTTTTGAGTTGTGGTGCTGGCGAAGAATACGGAAAGTACCATGGACTGCTAAAAGATCTAACAGATCGGCCCTGGAGGAAGTGCAGCTGGAATGCTCCTTGGAAGCAAGAATGGCCAGACTTCATCTCACCTACCTGTTTTGGTCATGTTGTTAGAAGGGGCTATTCCCTGGAGAAGGAGATCATGCTTGCTAAGGTGGAGGGTCAACAAAAGCGGGGAAGGCCCTTAATGAGATGCATTGACACAGTAGCTGCAGCAATGGGCTCAAGTATAGCCAGAATCATGGAGCTGGTGCGGGACTGGGCAGTGTTTTGTTCTGCTGTGCATAGGGTCGCTATGAGTCGGAGACTACTTGTCAGCACCTAACAACAACAACAATAACAGTTAATGAGATTAGAGTAGAGAATTAGAAAAATATTCTACATTTGTATAGCCACTTACGTCTTTCAAAGACTTGCATTAAAGTAATACTGTTGAAGAACATAGTTGAAGGACTGCTGTAACATGATTTCAATTTTAAAGCTACCATAATTAAGACAGTGTAGTATTGGCATAAAGATAAATTCAGAGATCAGTGGAACAGAAAAATGAGTCCAGAAATAGACCCACATGTATGTGAGGAACTGATTTTTACCAAGGTGCTCTACCAGTCCTTAGCATCTCTGAATGAATGTCATACGTACTTTTTATATAAAGATCAAGTAATAGGAAAGGGGAAAGGGCAGTGTTTTCTAAACCCCTCAGCTGAATTGACTCCCTCTTATTTTGTACCAAGGAGTCCTGGTGGTGCAGTGGTTAAAATGCTTGGCTGTTAACTGGAATGTGTCAGTTTGAATCCACCAGCCAATCCTTGGGAGAAAGATGTGGCAGTGTCCTTCTGTAAAGATTCAGGGCTTTGAAAACTATGGGGGCAGTTCTACTCTGCTGTGTATGTTCACTTTGAGTCGAAATTGACTCCACGGCAACACTGTTTCATTTCGTTTGGTTGGTTTCTTTTGTTCTACTGTCACCTTGAGTATATTTTAGTTGTTGAATGAGTCATTCTGATCATGCCAAAGATTGTGTGGGCCTTCTTACCTGGATGATAAACTTCTTTGCATTCCAGCATTTGACATGCATCTTAACACACATTTCACTCAATAAATATTTGTTGAGTCACTAATTTTGTGAATGGAGTGGTATTGCAGCAGAAAAGCTATTATTGCCAGGATATTTTTTTTTTCCCTCATTTGTTAAAGACTACATTTTTCCCTTCCAAGCAGCAGTAGCACATTTAACTCCTTTGGAACTTTCAGTTTCTTAGAGAAAAAGTGAAAAAAAAATTTTTGAACCTTAGAGTTTTTCATATTTCTTCGAATACTGGTAGTTCATAAGAGGAAATGAATATACATGTTAAGTTAAAATATACTAAATTTGCACAGTATTTTCTTTTTACACTTTATATTATAATACTACTTGAGATGATATTGAAATTTCAAAAGAATAAAAATAGTAAGTATTTTGATTTATATTATGGCTGATGTCCTTGTTTACTGAAGCCATATTGAACCATATTTGCTAATTAAGGCAAGTGTACAGAAATTAGATTTTTATTCATCAAATTTCTTTTCCTTGATGAGTATTTTGTGTTTATAAAGAATACAGAGTATGAAGATGAAAAGGCATTGAAGAATCCAAAATACAAAGATAGAGCTGGGAAACGTAGAGAACAGATAGGGAGTGAAGGAACTTTTCAAAGAGATGATGCTCCTGCATCTGTTCATTCGTAAGTATTACAATTGCTTGAAACATTGTGTAATCATGTTCAGGGTAGTCTCTGACTTTTCAGGGTTATATATACTGATACGTAGCCTTTAAATGAATGGTTGAGAGCAAGATGGAAACACTAAGTATAAACACCATTTATACTTTCCTTTCATGTCAGAATTCCATTATTCTCTAAAAAATTGGTGATCATCCATGTGTGTGCACTTACTTAAACATTCATATATATATATATATATATGTATACATAATATTCTTTCTAGTCATTCAGTTGAGGGAGTGAATATACATTTATACACTAGATTATGTAGAAAGCTAGGCTAGTAAGAAATTTATATAGGACTGATAGTTTTTTTATAATTATTTTAATACTCAAATACTTTTGTTTTGGTGACCTATTTATGTTTTTGTGATATGTTTTTCTCATTTATCTTTTTTTGATTGTTTTCTCTGGATAAAGTAGCCTTGATAAACTGAAAAATGTGATCTTGAGATCTATACTATGACCATATTTTAATATTTAATAATTAATTAACTATTATTTTTTTCCCTTTTATAGAATGTTAATTCTGGGTTTAGTTAAAGTTTAAATCTGTCTTATAGAATGGATAACTAATTAGAAAATTTTGATTAAGTATCATGTATCATATTTTAAGATATACTACTTTTTTGTTTAACTTTTTGATGTCCTTGAAGTTAATGGAGTTTTGTAATTATAAACAGCAATTTTTTCTTAGTAGTACATAAAATAATGGTGTATCTTACAGTCAGTGGAGTCAGATTTGATGAAATGTGTTAAGTTAGATACACTGAGCAACATGACTTGTTTTAAGTTTAATAATTTTTGAAGTTCTTGTTGGACAATGTGATGATTGCTTATGAATTAAATTAGAAGGCAGAAGTAAAAAGTGGAGGACATCAATCTGTTTGGTTTATTGTTATTTAAGAGCTAATTTAATAAATTTTGTAGAACTGGAAAGGTAATGATAAGACATAATATAAAAATACCCTGAAATTAGCAGAATTTAACGCAAGTAGCGAATGGGAATTTTTATTTTTAAACTTATTTTTATTATGCTTAACTAGAGGCACAAACAGTTAAGCATTTGGCTACTAATTAAAAGGTTGAAGATTTGAACCTACCCAGTGCTCTGTGAGAGAAAGACAGCGTTGTTAGTGCTGTCGAGTTGACTCTGACTCACAGTGACCCTGTGTACAACAGAAGAGAATACTGTCCAGTTCTACGCCATCCTCACAATCTTTGTTGTGTGTTAGTCCATCGTCTGCAGTCACTCATCAGTCTGTCTTGTTGAGGATCTTCCCCTTTTTCACTGACCCTCTGCTTTATCAGGAATGATATCCTTCTCCAAGGACTGGTCCCTTCTGACAGCATGACCAAAGTAGGTGAGACAAAGTCTGACCACTATCACTTTTGTGAAGCATTCTGGCTGTATTCCTTCCAAGACAGATTTGTTCTGTTCTTTTGGCAGTCCATGTTATGTTCAGTATTCTTCACCAAGACCACAATTCAAATGCATCCATCTTCTTTAGTCTTCCTTATTCATTGCCCAACTTTCACATACATATGAGGTGATTGAAAACACCAAGGCTTGGGGCAGGTGCACTTTAGTCTTCAAAGAGATATCTTTGTTCTTCAGCACTTTAGAGAGGTCTTTTGCAGCAGATTTACTAGTATAGTACAACATCTGATTTCCTGACTGTTGCTTCCATGGATGTTGATGGTGAATCCAAGTAAAATGAAATTGACAACTTCAATCTTTTCTCCACTTATCATGATCCTCCTTACTGGTCCAGTTGTGAGGATTTATATTTTCTTTATGTTGAGGTGTAATCTGTAGTGAAGGCTGTAGTCTTTGATATTAATCAGTAAGTGCTTCAGTCATCTTCATTTTCAGCAACTAAGGTTGGGTCATCTGCAGGTTATTCCATAAAGATTACAGAATAGCAGACTCTCTGGGTTAGTACTACTCTGTCATATGGGGTCTCCATGAGTCAGAATTGACTTGATGGCACCTGAGAACAACATAACATATAAGAAAAATGCACCAATCATAATTTTCCAGTTTAGTGCTATCTCATAAAATTAGTTATTGCAGAATAATCACTTTAATCAAGAAATAGAACATTACCAGCATCCTGGAAGCCTACTCTCCTTCTCCCATCTTCTAATCTCTGTCCCTCTCCTCAAAGGTAATGACCTTGACTTCAGTAGTAATAAGCTAATTTCACTCATTTTAAAATTTTATATTAATGGAATAATTTAATGTTTTTTAAATGTCTGTTACGACCTTTTGGTCAGCATCATTTTGTTAGGTAGTTTATTTTCATTGCTGTATGAATATATCATGATTTATCCATTTGGTCATTTGGGTTGTTTTCAGTTTGTGGCTATTACTGTTATTGCTGCAAGAACATTCTTACACATATCTTTTGATGCACATGTGCATACTTTTCTGTTAGGTACATATGTAAGAGTAGAATAATATTTGTGTATGTTCAACTTCATTAGGTACTATATAATAGTTTTCTAAAGTTGTTTTAAAATTTATTAATGTATTGTAAATGTCATCTAAATGGTATTTTATTTTTAATAAATCAGCCATCTTAATTTTTCTTTAAGTGAAATTACTGATAGCAACAAAGGTCGGAAGATGTTGGAGAAGATGGGTTGGAAAAAAGGAGAGGGCCTAGGAAAGGATGGTGGAGGAATGAAAACTCCGGTAAGACTTGCATTTATTTTCATTCACTTATTCTTACAGTAGACATTTATTGTGTACCTATTCTGTGCCAGCCACTGTCTTAGGGGCTAGGAATGTAGTAGCAAACAAAAATAAACATGATTACTACTTTCATGGAGTTTTTAACTATTTTATATATATCCATTTTATATATATCTTCATTGTACATTTCAATGTTTTTAGGCAGTCTTTTTTAGAGCTTTTTCTACATTAAAGCTGGGGTAGTAAGTGCTATTTCCTGAGCCAAAGGTTGTTCTTCTTCTTTATCTTAGTTGTTTAAGGACTTCCCTTACTATGTCTGACACTAAACATTGGCTGAAACAATCACAGTGTTAGTTTAGGAAGATTCTGTATTAACTGGAGAATCTGTGTTAGGTTCAAGAATCAGAGCATGTAACAAGCAATATAGAGAATAGTGTCTGAAAAACAAGTGTTGTAGCTGCCGTAGGGTATGCCCCCAGCTTACTGCAACCCAATGCAAAGAGGCATAGAACACTTTTTGGTCCTGCACCATTCTCATAATTGGTTACAGATTTTGCCATTGTGACCTGGAGAGTTTTCTGTGGCTGATTTTTAGAAGTACATCACCAGGCATTTCTTTGTAGTCCATCTTAGTCTGGAAGCTTCGTTGAAACCTGTTCAGCATCATAGAAATATGTAAGTGTCCACTAACAGGTGGAAACTATGCATGAGGTGCATTGGCCAGGAATCAAACTGGTTGTCTCACATAGAAGGCAAGAATTCTACCACTGAGCCACCACTGCCCTCTGGAAAATAATACAGTGGTTTAATTACATAGTCCTTTGGTTCATAGTAAGGAGCTCTGGTGGTATAGTGGTTAAGACAGTTGGCTGCTAACCAAAAAGTAAGTGGTTTGAATCCACCAGCTGCTTCATGGAAGAAAGATGAGGCAATCTGCTTCTGTAAAGATTAACAGCCTTGGAAACGCAGTGGGGGTTGCTGTGAGTCAGAATTGACTTGATGGCAGTGAGTTTGATTTTTGCTATTTTTTATGGTTCATAGTAAGTCCAAGTTCTCTTTCATAAAACCTTTAAAAGTAACATGACTTACATATTTTTCTTGATGATTTCTACTTAAAGAAATAGTGGATGAATCAGTGTTGGTAAAATGTTCATTTTCTCATTTTTATTGAGGTACAGTGGAAAGAATATGGATTTTGTAGTCACCTAGGTTAGAATATATGCCCTGTCACTTATTTTCAGTGTGACTTTGAGCAATTTTGAATTTCATTTTTCTTATGCAAAATAAGGAAATATGAACTATTTTTTCAGGGATGTCATGACTGTAAAACCCCTAGTATGGTGCCTAACATACATTGGGCACTCAATAACTGGTAGCTTTCATTGTTCTCAAAATAATGAGAAGTCCTGTTCTTGGTTATGAAAATAAACAATAACATTCTCTTTACGACTCTTAATCTTTAACCTACGTGTTCATTTACTAAATGAGGAATAGGACAACAAGTTTTATTATGTCCATTGCCTTTACTTCGGGTTAAAGTAGACCTCCTAGGCATGTTCTGCAGCATCTCAATGGAATTTTGTGATTGCTATTTAAAGAGCATACTCTGTTTTCTGTAGAGTCTGATAGGCAGGCCAGTGTAGAAGAATGAGTTTAAATGACAATGTATTACGGACACTCCTATGCATATTTGATACATTTGGCAGGTTTAGAATGGTCCCCCCCATCAATCTCTAATATATCAAAGAATTATAGTTAAAAGTATAATGCAGTAGATTTCATTGTGTTTAGATTTTAAAGTATATCTTCTGCTCAACTTTTGGTAACAGATTCAGCTTCAGCTTCGGCGAACACATGCAGGCTTGGGTACAGGGAAACCATCCTCAATTGAAGATGTTCACCTTCTCCAAAACAAAAGCAAAAAGAACTGGGACAAAGCACGAGAGAGGTTTGCTGAAAACTTCCCAGAAACTAAACCTCAAAAAGATGCACCAGGATCCATGCCTTGGGTAAAAGGGAGTATAGAGTGAAGATTAGTCAGAGAACAACATTTTCAGGCTTTGAAAAAGAGTTTGGAAACTCTCATTGCAGAGTTTTCCCCTCTAAAAGCATCATTTGCACCAGGGAAGTATTTCATAATTTGCCCCCTCAGGACTCAAAAGTGTGTAATAAACTATGGTTTAGTTATGTTGGTAAACTTTGCATCTTTTAAAAATAATTTTTTAAATAAATAAATAGTGATTGAATCAAGTTATGCTATAGTGGACTAAAGTTCACAGGACACAGATGAGCTTATCATACTGTTACTTTATTGTGTCATTTACGTTACCCATATAAACAAAGATCCATATAAGCAAAATCTGTAGAGCCACTAATGACCTAAATGTACCTTTGTCCCGTCTCTATATATTTGTTAATTGTAAGATGTACAACAAGAGAAACATCAGAAGTTTATCCAAAAAGCAGTTCTGACCATGTGCACCCTTCTTTATTCCCTTTAGAACATAGATCAAAAACACTGAGAAAATACGAGTAGTGGTCCATGAGTTTTATTATCCTTAAAGTAACCTAAGTAATACCGTTGAAGAACTAATGAACAGGTGACATGTAGAAAATTAGTGTTTTGTTTTCTTCTGTGAAGAATCTGTTACTTGTACTCTACATTAAGCATTTATTTTGGGTTTGTTTCATAGCTAATGACATATTTAGATATGAACAACTGAGTACAGTATTAAAATATTCAGTGTGCTGGCATTTGCAGTTTTGATAAATCCCATTGCTGGCAATGGAGTTGTGCCAGAGAATCTGATTGCTAGTGCAAACAGATTACCTAACCAGGGCCTCAAACTCAAGATATTTATTGCAAATGTACTCAAATGCAATAAAAACAGTATTATAGTATCAGAAAGAGTGATTCATTAAAGCAAGGATTTAAATACCTTGGTGTTTTTGACTTGTAACAGCCAGAATTTCCCTCTTTAAATTGGCAGAAGAATGGCAAAAAGATAATATCAAATATTGAAGAGCTGCAGTGCAGCTTTCTGGGTGCAGGTGTCACTACTCTGCCAGTTATCACTATTCTGTTCCCTGCTGTTCAGCGTTCTCTCAGCTTTTTGCTGGTATTTAATGCTGAAACAACCTTTTCTGGTAGTGAATATAAGGTATACTTCCCCCATCTATTATAAAGAAATATCTACAAGATTTAGAAATAAAGAAAGGAAAATTCTGGAGGAAAAAAAAAATGTACAGTAGGGAAGATAATTCAGAAAGAAAGGTACTACCTTTTAGGATTTCCAGCAGAATTTTACAGAGTTCTTAGGAAGAAAGGGGAATGGACAACAAGAAGAGGTTCTTTTTTATATTCTTGCTGGATACCTACAACCCTAACATAAACATAAATTAGAGTAGAGGCAGCAAAAACATCCTGCGTTATTTTCTCGGAAATAGAAAAAATGTATTGCATCGTCACTGGTCTGTCTGAATGTGATTCTAGTCTGCTACTGGTGCCCTTATATAGCTAATAATGCAGTTATGTTTTATTTTATTTTAATTAAAAAAACCAATTGCCATTGAGTCAACTCCAGCTTGTGGTGAGCCCATGTGTGTCAGAGTACAACTGTGTTCCACTGGGTTTTCAGTGGGTGATTTTTCAGTAGATTGCCAGGCTTTTCTTCTGAAGCATCTCTAAATTGACTTGAACTTCCAACCTTTTGTTTAGTAGCCAAGAGTGTTAATCATTTGCACCACCCCAGGGAATCAACTCCATCAAGTTGATTCCAACTTGTAGCAACACAATAGGACAGAACAGAACTGCTCCATAGAGTTTCTGGGAGCTTTGGTGGTGTAGTGCTTAAGGCATTTGACTGCTAACCAGAAGGCTGGCAGTTCAAACCCACCAGCCACGCCTCGGAAGGAAGGTTGGTCAACCTAGTCCCGTAGTGATATCGCCTCAGAAACCCAACGAGGGGTCGCTCTGAGTTGGATCTGACTCAACAGCAGTGGGCTTGGTTTTGTTTTTTTTAATAGAGTTTTTAAGGCTATAATCGTTACAGAAGCAGACTGCCACGTCTTGCTCCTGCAGAGCAGCTGGTGAGTTTGAACTGCCAGCATTTCAGTTGGCAGCCAGGTGCTTACCCACTGTGCCACCAGGGCTCCTTTCATAATAGCATAGGATCACAGAACAGATTTTGCTTTGGGTGGATCTCACTCATTGGGTTAGTATACAATCGTCTACAATATTTCCCGTTTTTATTGTTGTTAGGTACCCTAGAGTCCATTTTGACTCATAGTGACCCCAAGTGACAGAGTAGAGTTTTCTAGGCTGTAATACTTTAAGAGAACAAATTGCCAGAACTTTCTGCCATGGAGCCGTGGTGGCTCCAAACCACCGACCCTTTGGTCAGCAGCCAAGTGCTTGACCGGTGTGCCATCAGGGCTCTTAATAGTTTGGAGAAAGCTTCTTTTCATTGCTCCTTTCATTAAGAAAAGGGAAATTGGGAATGGTGATAAAAATTGAAATATATGTAGTATTTGCATTCTTAAATCCTTTGCATATCTAACGTCTCAGGGCTACTCTATATAGTTTTTAAAGTAGTGAATAATATGAGTCGATTTACATCTGTAAAATAGAAATAACATTTATCTCACATCTGTCTTGAAAAGCAAATGAGAAAATGTATATAAGAGCACATTGTAAATTGTAAAAGCAATACAAATGTGAGTTGCTTCTAATTGTTTAAAAGCATAGATTTGAAATATGTACAATTTGAATTATACATAAAATTGTTTCATGTCTAGTATTTTCAACTATAGTTTTTTCACAGTTATAAATTTACTAACTTAATAGTTTATGAACATTTGATTTTAAGTGACACTACAAGTTGCTGAGTTGGGCGATCCTACTTCCGTAGTGATATTGCCTCGGAAACCCAAGGAGGGGTCGCTATGAGTCAGGTATGACTCGACGGCACATAACAACAACAACAACAAGTTGCTGAATTTTGAGAAATCTAACATCTTATATTTTTGCCAGAATATGAGAAGGTGGCATAATTGGGAACAGAAGAAACCATCAACCTTAGAGTGAAATAAATTATTTTCTAGTATTAAATAGTTGGAAGAAGTAGTTATGTCCATAAAGAAGGAAACTTAGTCTTTTCTTTCCCCCCTGACTCTTTTGAAACAATTTTTACTAATACTGTTTCATGTTTATCCTAGTCATGAACTTATGAAAAGTAATGGCTCACCCAAAAATCCTTCCAGCTTTTCATGTAAAAGATTATTTCTTAATTTAGCAAATTCTTAAAAGAGTAGACAGAAGAAGATAAAAATCTCAAAGGAAAGCAAGAAGTGTACAGAGATCATCATATCGACTTGTGGGATAGAGGAATGTTCTATCTTCTTGCTTGGAAGAGAGCAAAAAGGCATTTCTGGGCCCAGCACCTAAAGGTGTTCTCAGGAACAGTTGGAAGTATTGCCCCCAACATTTTATTCTAAGTGTGCTTCTTATTTTTGTAAGGCATCACTTACATTTCTGACATGAATCTTTGATCCAAAATATTTCATTTTTTCAGAATTTAATGTGGAAATATATTTGGATTCTTTAAAATGAGTCAGTGTTTATTTGTGTCTGTGTGTATCAGAACTCAGACTTTGCCCTGTGCCTTTCTGGTTTCTTATTCTAAGTGTTGGCTCATGGCCTTGTAGTTGGAAAATTACTTCTGTGACTCCATTTGTGTCCAAAAGAGGAAGAAAGGGAAAGGAGAGCAACAGTGTTCTCAACTCTTAGAAAAGCAATCATTAGAACTCCAAGAAAAACCAGATTTTGGATAGCTTTATATGAAGGTTAATTGATAGCATGCTTTAATTCAGCAGATAGCCACAAAGCACTTGACGTAGACCAGACACTGTTGTAGGCACTCGAACCAAAATAACAAATATTACCATCGAGTCAATTTCAGTTCATAGCAACCTTATAATTATGACAGAGTAGAACTACCACAAGGGTTTCCAAGACTATAAATATTTGTAGAAGCAGACTGCCGCATCTTTCTCCTACGGAGCAGCTTGTGGATTTGAACCACTGACCTATTGGTTATCAGACAAGTGCTTAGGCACTGAGTGACCAGGAGACCTTCTCTAGGAATGAGGGATATTTTTAAAAACAAAAACAACTCTGTCAGGTTGATCTTGGCTCAGGGCAGCCCCATGTGTTAACAGAGTAGAACTACTGCTCTGTGGGCTCTCTTGCCTATAATCTTTATAGAAGCAGATTGCCAGCCTTCTTCTGTGGTGCCATTGGGTAGATTTGAACCACCAACCTTTAGGTTAATAGTCAGGCAAAACCATTTGTACCAGCCAGGGACCTCTTAGAGATACAGTACTAAAAACCAAACCAAACTCACTGCCGTCGAGTCAGACCCGACTCGTAGCGACCCCTCTTCGGGTTTCCGAGGCTGTATCTCTACGAAAGTAGATTGCCCAGTCTTCCTTCCGAGGAGTAGCCGGTAGGTTTGAACCAACAGCCTTCTGGTCAAATGCCTTAGGCACTACACCATATTGATAAAACTCTCTGCGTACATGGAGCTTACATTTAGTTTTAAAAACATTTAAGGAATATAAAGGCCAAGTAGTCGAATGAAGGCCTTGATAGTTCCAAAAAGAGTATTAGTCCAAACCTAGTCCAATTCATTCCAGAGCTTCTGGAAGTGCCAAAATTTCTCAGGTACAGTTGGGGGCAGGGGTGGTGATCTTTTTTTTCTTAAATGTCTTCAGATCTGTCTGTAAAACCATTCCTTTCTAGGGGAATCTTGTGAACTTCTGCCTTCAAAATTATTTGTAGTCATGGTTTTGAGGATCTTAAATACGTAGACAGTGGTGAAACCTTACTGAAGGTGCAGCCCTTCATTTTACATATCTCCCTCTAATTACCTGACAGGTAGCAATGACTCTGCCTGCTCATACATTTGGGTTTTTCGATTCTAAATCTGAGTGGTGTATTAATGAAGTACTGAAAGAATGCAGCATGTGTCCGGTGGAACTGGAAATTAGAGTTGATAAAGAATGTTCCTAAGGGCTTAGAAACAGGCACATGTGGGAAAGTTAATATGAATGCAGGCAAACAATGTCTTCTGCCTATTGAGAATGCCTTTTCTGAAATTCTTTCAACAGAAAGCTAGCTTCATGTGTGTTAAAATGCCATGGTATTTTATTGCTGAGAAAGCAGAGATAGTTTGGGAGAACTTGGTGGAATATTATTAAATGTATTAAATATATGATGGAATGTTACTTAGCTTCTAATTACTAGTAGACTTCAGAGGGCAGGAAGGTTGCCAGCTCATTCATCTGATCATTACCTTCCTTGACCAGAAGCCCAGGAGAATATATACTGAAATAATAAAGCTTTCATTAGCATTTAATGTTTTTCCTTAAAGCCTCATTTTAATATTATGAAATCAGATTTCAGAGAATGTCATAATTAAGATTTTCATAAAAGAAACATTTAATACATTTAAATACGTAATGACTCCCAGTGCTACCTGAATTCATTCACATCATAAACCCACTAAAATGAACCTTAATCTCTAACATGACTGTGCTGCTTATACTTAACCTTAACATACAACACTATCAAGACCAGTTTATGAGCCACACAAAAATAATTATCACAGCTTTATTACAACTTTACCTTATTAGCCACAAATGTTAATCTGGCTAATCATCTATCATAATCACCAGGAACATTGTTGATGTTAGGTGCTGTGCAGTTGGTTTCAGCTTACAGCGACCCAGTGTAAAACATCATGAAACACTGCCCAGCCCTGTACCACCATCAGTCATTGCCGTGTTTCAGCTCACTGCTGCAGTCACTGTGTCACTCCATCTCGTTGAAGGT